CACAATTTCATTATGTTTTTTTTGTTTTTCAGGTACATTATTTTTTTTGGTCTATCTGACATGGATGTTTTTTCTTTTTCTTCATATTAATTCATTTACTTGTTATTAAATTTCATGATTTAATCTTTATTATCTGTTTCAATTTTAATATTAGTTGAATTCGATTGATTTTGATTCATTTGTTCACTGTAATGTCGTTTACAATAAGATAATTTTTTTGCTCGTTTTAAACATTGTTCATGTATACATAATGGACGCCAATGACCAATACCATCATATTGTTCACGATAACCTCGTTTATTTAAACGAATTTCATTTCGAACATGAAATATTGATTCTGATTGATCAGATAATGATGATGCAGATGTATAAAGATATGATGGAGGTGGCATAGGAATTTGAGAAACAGCTTGTAAATGATGATAATGTGGTTGTTGAAATAGAAGATTTGATGATAAAATACTATTTGAATTAGTAGATGTAGTTATTGATGATACTAATGATTGTTGTGGAACTTGCGTAGGAGTTGTTGTTGTTGTTGTTGTTGTTATTAAAGATTTTTGTTTTTGTTCCGTATAGTGCTAAATACAAATCAATTTTTTATTAGAGAAGATTACAAAAGAACATAGAAACTTCCTCAAATGTTTTGTAATAAATAGTCAGCAATAAATATCAAACTAAAAGTTTTCTTTTAGTATATCTAAGACATTCGAATTTTCGATTTAAACAATACATCTATGAACTACTACTATAAAGAATTAATATCTAGCTCTAGCCTTGGCTGATACGTCATTTCAATCTTCTCTATGGATCAATAAACTAATGATTTGCTTGATCTATAAACATATAAGACTTACTCGTTTACACCAATTGAGTACTTTTGCTCGTTTCATACAACCTTCGATAACACATAATTTTCGCCAATATTTTTTTCCATCAAATCTTTCAAAATAACCTTTTTTATTCCATCGAATTTCATCACGTTGATGAAACGACATTAGTTATCAAAATCTAAAAATTAAAATATTGTCTTGTTTTTTATTCTTTATTTGTTAACAAAAAAAAAGAAAAAAGAAAAAAGAAAAATTGCGCTTTAATTTGAAAGAGATTCTTTAAAAAAATAAATAATATATAAAATGAGATCACTATTGCAAATGAAATGTTATTAGAAAAATATGAAAGACATGATGGATTTAAAATTCAGTTTTTCGATTATCGACTGAATCTCGACCAAGTCGAGGTATATCTTCAAATTCACTGGGATGTTTGTCATCATAATCTCCAAAAAGAACTTGTGTACTTAATCGACGAGGTACTTTAGATAATGAACCATATCGACGTTTATATTCAGCTGCTTGTTCAGCTAAACGATTAGCAGTGGAATAACGTGGAATGCTTAAATGTGAGACTAACAAAAAATAACATTTTTTGTAAGAAAAAAAATTTCTTTTTCTTTTTTTGAAAATATGTATATTTCTTACTATAACCAAGACCTTGAAGAAAAAGTCGAATAGATTCAGCTAATTTTGCTGGTTGTTCAAGTAAAACACCATTACCACAATCAGCAAGTTCAACAAAAGAAGCCGTTGTTGCATCAAATCGATCATTAGTATCCATAACATCTTGTTTATATTGTGATGAAGATCCAGTAATATTAATAACTGAACATCTATAAAGATAATTTGATTTTTTTTCTATTAAATAAAAATTCTACACCTACTTGAGAATTCTAGATGCATTACCCCTTTTATTCGCATCAGCTTTTCGATCGATTTGAATAGCTGTACGGCTAAACACAAAAAATAATAACAATTCAATTTTTATTTAAATATATTTTTACTTTAAATATGAATTTAGAAGTTTAATAACATTTTTAGCTTTAACATTTTCTTCTAAATGACGTCGAAGCATATTTACGAGATCTGGATCTGATGCTTGTGTTCCCTAAATTTTAATAATTCTTATTTTATTAAAATTCATCAATCATACATACAGGTCCTAAATGATATCCAATAAGATAATTCAATAATGAATCTGTCCAATGTTGTTGTGACATATCCTTTGTTGCTCGCTATAAAAACGAACTTTATATATATATGAAGAAAAAAAATAATAATTTTGCCAAAACTAAATACTTTAATAGACAAACTTTCGAGCCATTTTACATTACGTGCAATACAATTAATCAAAATAAGACCATAGACTTTTGATGGATATTGCAATGCAAAACGAGTTAAAACATTAGCACCAAGACCAACACCAAATCCAATAGCAGATTTAATACTAAAAAATTCGAAATATTAGAAAATAGAAACAGAAAAAAAAAACACCTACTCTAAATGCACAAATACATCATTAATTGTTACAGCTAATTGATCCATAGTAGGATAAACAAATCTAGAATAAAATTTATTAAATTCAAAATAATATGAAATAAATTCATACGATGTTGGTAATAGATTAGCTTGTTCATCTTGTCCAGGTGCATTGATATGATAAATAGTAAAATGTTCAGTGACTGGGGACATTTCTGGATATGAAAAAAATTGATGAAATTGTGTTGCAGCTTGAAAAAACAAAAAAAATTAAATTTTTTGTTTATATTTTTTTTCATATTAAATAAATAATAAAAAAAAAACTTACAATTATATCCAACATCATGATAAGTAACAATTACTGGACGATCGGGTGGACCTTGTTGTGTTATTATAAGATGACCATATTTTGTTGAAATTGGAATAATCTAAATAATAATGATAATATTTTTAATTAATAAAAAAATTAAAGAATAAACCTTTGGCTTAGTGAATTCATTTTCACAAATTTCAGGTTGAAGTAATTCATCTTCAATAGTAATACTTGGCGGATCACTAGTCATCATCTAAAATTTACAAACAATAATAATAATAATAATACTCACGATTGATAATTATGAAGAAAAAAAACAGTACGAGACAAAAAAGGTTGAATCGAGTCTACATCAAATGAGAATAAGAGAAAAGGAAGGTGAAAAGGTGAGCTAAATAGTATGAAAGAGAAAAAAAAAATATACGCATATATATGATGGATATGAGTTAGAATAAAAACTGGACAGCTATAGGAGAATTTGCCCAGAAACAATATTTTTTTTTTGCGACATCTCACGCCATCTTTCGATATTTCATACAATAAACTATATTTAATTAATCATTTTTGTTCAAAACTGGACGGAATTATAAATAAAAATCAATATTTAAACTGCAGTTGATGAATGTGATAAAAATCGTGATTGTTGTTCTGTACTAAGATTAATATTTTCTTCTAAACTTGGTAAAGAATCAATATGAATTCGATTTGATGTTCTTGATTCCATAAGATCATCATGTGTTAATGCATAATATGTTTTATGTTTATATAACCAAAACCATAGAGCAATACCAACAAGAAAAAGAATTGTTGTTGTTAATAAGAAAGTAGGTAAAAAATATTTTTGAAATTGTTGAAATTGTTTATTAATCATTCGTTGATTATTAATTAATAACATACTAATTTCATCAGTTAAAATACCATTATATGTTTGAGGATTATCACTAACATGATTAGAATCAATATGAAATCTTGTTTCAAACGAATAACGATCAGGTGGACAACAATAACGATAAGTATCTGTACCACAACAAAAATATTGGATTGAATTTTCAATTGGGCATGCAAAACCTATCAAATAAAAATATTTTTATTAAAGTTTTTTGTGTATATATCAACATTCAATGTTTGTTTCAGTTCGATTTACACGTATCTAACATTAGATACAGACTTATCTTTATAACTAACCGTTATTCCATGTTCCATGTACATCAATAAATCCGCTACAAATAGTACTTGGTGATCTATCAAATACTATTGTTGGTACACTTGTAGTAGTATTTGTCGTAGTTCTGATCATCATTGTTCATTGTGTAAAATAATTTGATAATAATAGGATTAGCATTTAGAAGAAACATATGTCAATGAGACATTGAAGAAAAGACAAGAATAAAATCAATCTTCAATATGTTATTTTGTACGATGGCAAACAAAAGATAAGTCAAAGAAAAAGAATTACAGATGAACTAGAAATAATGGAAAGGAAATCTCATCTGTTTAGTTAATATTTCTCTCGTATGTGGACTGTTGACATTCTTCTTTATTTATGAGAAAACATAGTCTGTATGATGTATCGATAAGTATCTTTTTTGTCTATCTTATTTCATCTGAATAGAAAAAGAGCTTGTCATAGATGATTATCACTCATGTATTACAAAGGGAATGAATAAGAATAGTTATATTAATCGACAATGTCATCAAAGATCATAATGAAAAATGCCAAGTATGCAGCATAGCGGATGTTTCTTTTTTTTTTTGAAAATCTTATATTTCTATAAAAATTAATAGCAAAAATTAGATAGACACATGTACGTTAGTTTATTAATAAAATTGTTCGTTTTTTTCTTTCTTTAAAAACTTGTTTGATCCGTATTATCGTCATTGTCATCAACTGTTGTTTCTGGTTGATTTGAATATGTTGGATTATCATATGTCACGGATGTCATATGATTAGATGGAAGTGTAGTAGTTGTATTAGGTACAAGAAAAGAAACACTCGAGTTTGGATTATTTGTATTAACATCATCAGCTAATATGTTCCTATTGTCAAGTGAATTCAGTTCTTTACGTGATAGATGATATACAACAGCACAACCAATTGAATCACCAAAAACATTAATAGCAGTACGAAATCGATCACTAAAAATGAACAAGAACATATTTGTTAATAAAGCAAGACTGTGATAATAAAGATTTATAAACTAACAGTAACCAATCTACAGCAAAGATTGTTCTAACTTCTTCAGACGGTAAACCAAGTGCATTGAGGACAATAACCAATGTTACTAGACCAGCTGAAGGAATACTTGCGGCACCAATTGATGCTAAGGTTGCTGTAAAACTAAAGAATATAAATAAATATATATATATACATTCATAACTTTTCAATTAATTTTCATTTACGTAGTGACAATAATATTGGCAGCAGTCAATGGAATACCATTAAGTTGAGCTATATAAATAGCTGCTACAGCTTCATATAATGCTGTGCCATCCATATTAACAGTAGCTCCAATAGGTAAGACAAATCGTGAAATTCTCGGATCAATATGATTTTTTTCTTCAACACATCTATATGTTATAGGTAATGTTGCTGATGAACTACCTGTACCAAAAGCAGTTACTAATGCTTGACCCATGCCATGGATATATTTAAAAACATTCATACGTGTTATAATAAAAAGAATTAAAGGTAAAATAATGAATCCATGTATAAATAAACCAGCTAAAACAGTCGCCATATAAAGACCTAATGAACCAGCAAAATCACTTAAACTATCCATAAGAAGTATTTTGGCAACAATAAGAAAAAAAATACCAATGGGACTAAATAACATAGCAATACGTACAAGTTGCATAACAACTTCTAACATAGCTTCAAAAAATTGTTTAAGTATAAGTGTTTTTTCTTTTAATCGACTTATAATAATACCAAATAAAATACAAAATACAAGTAAACCAAGTACATTGATCCCATCTCGTTTTTCTAGTACGGCATTGTAGGTAGTTTTGTTATAAGCTAAATATATATGTTTTAAAATTATTTTTAATTATCAAAATTACAATATTACTTGTATCATTTTCACCCTTAACTACTATTTTGTTGACGATAAGTTTAGTAGCTGTCTAATAAACTAAACAAATATATTTGATTACTTTTTTTTTTTTTTGAATACTCACAGTTTGAAATGCAGCTTGCACAATATTATCAGGAAATAGATTTCTAAAATGTCAAATTTAATAAAATAAATAAAACTATTTTTTGTTGCTATTTTTACCTGATTAAATCCAGAATCGTATCAACAGTTCGACCTTCGGCTGCTTTTGATTCTGGTTTGATTGTTACTTGACCACCACGTAATCCAGGTCGTATAGTTAATACAAGAATAATACCAACAATAGCTGCAATAATGGTTGTAGCCAAATAATAAATCAATGATCGTAAACCCATTTTTCCACATGATTGTGCATCAAGTTGAGCTAATGATGAAATAATACTTGAAACAATCAATGGAAGTATAAGTAATTTAAGTATATTGATAAAAATAGTGCCTGGAAATTCGATGTATCCTATATCGTCTTTATTTAAACGACATCCATTAATATATGCATCTATAACAAAAATAAAATAATAGAACAAGAATCTATTGAAGAACTTATTTTGTCTTTACCTGTATTACATTTAAGACTTCTAAGACCAATTCCAACGCCAATACCAATTATAACTGAAGCAATAGTAGTTATGAGTAAAGCTTGTTCTTTAAGACTTTCTTTTGAACAACATTGTTGACGAAAATTTCGTTTTCGACTATTCATCTCATGTGTTGATAATGGTACCTCAATAATATGATTTGATTTTTTATTTCGAGTTGAAATAACATTTGAATCATTTTTTTGTCGTGCTTCCGAAGTCACCAATGGTATTACACTTCTTATGGATTTTTTCTTGAAAAAGTTCATGAACTATTAAGAAATCCAATAGACACAAGGCGTTATAAGATTTGCATTTAGCTTACTTTATTATTTTAAAGACGAAAAAAAATGAATTAAACTTTCGTGTAGGTTAAACACAATGTGCTTTAAGGTTGAAGAATGATGTCTTTGTTGATAGAAACGTAGACTATTATGACAAATAAATAAGGGAAAGAAGACTTATCTCTTCAGCGAATTTTTCCGAGAATAATAGTCACATAAGAGATAAAAATTATCTTCAAAATGTATGATTCATAATTAAATGCGAAACTCAGAAATGAAATATAAGATTACGTCTGAAAATACATGAATCATGAAATGTTTTGTTAAATTAAATAAATAAAAAATGACGGCTTTTATCTTTTGTGTTCGTTTTGAAAATGTTGATATGATATTTATCGATGCTTTTTTTTGTTCTTCCTCTATTTGAATGAAAGAGCATCAACTTACCTCAACGATGAAAACAAGAAAGTGATTAAGATTTATTCTTATTGATAAAGTCTCTCATATTTTTAATATTTCATAAGGACGAGTGTATTTTGATGTTTTGGTTCTTATGATCGTCCTTCAAACATACCGTACGAATTCTAACTGACATGAAAGACATTATTGACATAAAATTAGAAATGAATTCAAACTAAATTATGTTTTCGTTACAGGTGACTTAATTTTGAATGCACCAATCCAATTATAGTTTGATTGAATAGCGAAAAATATGTGTGTACTTAAACAAGTACATGAACGCAAATGATGTCGCTCAATTGTACTGGTAATTTTGAAAAAGTTCAATAGATTTGTTAAATTTTGTACTATAGTTATGAGTTTCTGAAGTAGCTACAGGTAAATTGACAATAACACACCTACAAATAAACAGTTTCATCATTATGAACACTAAAATATATTTTCGTCAACGTCTAATTGCATTTGTTCATTGTGTTCACTGAACATTGATTCATTATCTTTAGACAATCGTTCTTTTTTCATTTGTGAATATCACTATGATAAATCCTTTGATAATACGCATCTACTTGAAATAAATAATGCAGAAGCTATCTCTTCTGATTTAATTCACAAAATCACTCTAAATATTTATTTAAAAACATAACTTTATCTAGTTTTTTAGTTGCTAATCTTGTTCTTTTTTATTAACTGTTGCACCTAAGTTGATATGTGCGGGATCGGGATCAAGAACATACCAGATTCATTGTGGCTATGATCGAAACTGCTTAAAAAGAAGCTACTGGGATCCAAAGAAACTTGGTCCTGTACATATCTAGTCCTGGATTGAAAACAGAAACCAAACTATTTTATTTCTTCAATGTGTTTGAAACTTACAAAAGATTAGATATCAAAACTAGTTGCGCCGTCACAGGAGGAAAAGGAAACTGAATTCTTTCGGAAAGCTTTTAAACTTTTAGCTCACGGTGTTTGTACCAAAGACCTAAGAGTAAAATTCAGCGAGTTGGTCTTGGACCCAGTCGAGTCTGAAAACTTTGAACCCGATGGGCTCTACTTTACACATTTCTCAGATGAATCGTCTGAGAAATGTATAGGGTGCACTAGTCACCCAATACAACAAATCGGAAAAAAAGTATCTCGTATCTTCTAGGTGCGACTATCCTATTCGGAGTAGAAAATTTCAATGAAAGTATCAAAATACGATTTGACCGGACCCAGACTCAAAAACTTTTGATCCGATGGGCTCTAACTGAGGCGGCTCAGCTCTCTAGATGAGAAATATAGCAACAAGATATAACTGTATGCTAAGGTTTTTTCTGAGAGTAACAAATAAATGGAAAAAACCTCAGGTTTGGGTCCAACCGGGTCCGAGTTCACAAAAACGTGGACTCGCAGCTCCCTACAGCTCTCCCTGAACAAAACTTCTAACATCGTCACTAATCAAAATGTTAGCTTGCATATGGGAAGTTATTTTTAATTGATTTCAAAAGTTAGTATAACCATTTTTCTTAATTGCAACACATAATTGTCGAGCGAGATGATGATTGAAGAGAACAAATATGTATTTAATGAAAAGGCAAAAATCATATGCTATTGCTTAATAATTCATTCATTCAAGTTAAATAATGAAAAAAAGATTAATTTTATTTATAAATAGAGGATAATTAATTAATTAATTCTTAAGTTTCGATATATCAGGTTTAAGTCTTGGATTTTGTCCACCAACATGTTCATCCCATCCTTTTCGACATGTACGAATAATCCATTGATGTTCATCATCATCTATTTTCATATATAAAAAAATTCATGTTTATAAAAGACAGAAAAAAAAACATTCTAATCTATTTTCTTACCAGCATTTCTTACAAATTC